CTCCGGGTCTGTTCTAGTCTGAGAGCTAGTCCCGGATCAAATGCCTGGGTTTGAGTTCAGAGTTCCGGAGGTGAATTTTCAGATTGTGTCTTTATGTCGGTGTTGGTGTTGTGAGGAATAATGTGACCGCGTTGAACCAGGTCTCAAATCAGACCCGATCCGGGTTAGACCCGGTCTCAGATCAGACCCGGTCCAGGTTAGACTTGGACTCTGCTGTCTGATACTCATCTGGAATCATCTCCATGTCCGTGTTTCTTCTGTGAAGCCCGTTAGCTTGCATGCTAACAGTTAGCATCACCGCGACAGCTGCTTTACGGCAAACACCTGATCAATGCGGAAGAGACAGGAAAGTGCGCATCAGAAAAAGGGAGCCGAGCGGAGTGATCGATAACAATCAATAACAGATATCAGAAACATAACTGATCAGAGCAGGAGAGACATGAGCCGCGCAGGCGCAGAACTGAGGATCATGTTCAGCCCGGGGCGCGTGCAACTGGTTCAGGTAAACAATTGATCACAGTTAACGGAGCTAACGGCTAACGGCAGGACCTGGAGAGTCCTGGAAAGTTTGTGAATCTTGTGATTTAAAAAGGTCAAAGACTCTGAGTCAGGTATTGATCAGTAAATGATTGAATGATTGATCACATTTTTGCCTTTATTAAAACTGACTTTACTTATAATTTTATTTATAACGTTATTTTATTAACAAGGTGATGTCATGAGTGATTTTGTGTGTGTGTGTGTGTGTGTGTGTGTGTGTGTGTGTGTGTGTGTGTGTGTGTGTGTGTGTGTATATGTGTGTATTTGTGTGTATATACTCCAGGAGGAGGTGGTGGTCCCGGGTCTTAAGGTCCTGGTTACCGGGGCAACAGGTCTTTTAGGTCGAGCAGTCTGCAGAGAGTTTCAGAACAATGGCTGGTTGGTCACTGGGACTGGGTACAGGAGGGCAAGGCCCCGCCTCCTCCGCTGTGACCTCACAGACGAGGACGCTGTCAGAGGATTACTGCAGGAGTACAAGGTATACACAGTGTATTACACATTATACCACACACTGTACTGCACACTGTACTACACATTTCTGTTTTTATGAAAGTGTAATAATCCTCCTGGTTCCTGATTAAACTGTGGTGGGACAGATTAGACTGACGGACTGTGGGGGACAGATTAGACTGACGGACCGTGGGGACAGATTAGACTGACGGACCGTGGGGGACAGATTAGACTGACGGACTGTGGGGACAGATTAGACTGATGGACCGTGGTGGGACAGATTAGACTGACGGACCGTGGGGGACAGATTAGACTGACGGACCGTGGGGGACAGATTAGGTTGACGGACCGTGGGGGACAGATTAGAACACCGCACCACCCCTGTCTTTAATGATGAACATATTTAAATAAAGTTAATTTGAATGAAGCGTCTCTGTGTCTCAGCCTGATGTGATCATCCACTGCGCAGCAGAGAGACGTCCAGATGTTGTGGAGAGACACACTGATGCAGCTGTGAATCTCAACGTGCACGCCACGAGCACGCTCGCCAAGGAGGCAGGTGAGTGATCACATGATGCTGTCATCACAGTTGTCAAATGGCTGTCACAGCAACAGAGGAGGATTTACTGCTGCTGGTTCAGCCAGTAACAAGTGTGCGTGCGCGTGTGTGTGTGTGTGCGTGCAGCTGTGGGCGGGGCCTTCCTCCTCTACATCAGCACTGACTACGTGTTTGACGGGAGGAATCCTCCGTACGGAGAAGACGACAGTCCGAACCCTCTGAACGTCTACGGACGCAGCAAACTGGAGGGAGAGAGGGAGACACTGCGCCACTGTCCGGGTACCTGTCTGTCTGACCACCTGTCTGCCTGTCTCTCTGGCTCACGACCTGTCTTTCTGGCTGGCCACCTGTCTGTCTGGCTGACCACCTGTCTGTCTCTCAGGGGCGGTGGTGCTGCGAGTGCCCGTTCTGTTCGGGGAGGTGGAGTCGGTGACGGAGAGCGCCGTCACGTCTCTGTGGTTGAAGGTTCAGGAGGCGACGGAGAGCAGCACCCTGGATCACTGTCAGCAGAGGTTCCCCACCGACGCCAGGGATGTCGCCGCCGTCTGCAGGAAACTGTCGGAGAGAGCGAGACAGGTGAGAGAGAGAGAGAGAGAGACAGAGACATAGATGGGTGAGTGGGGGGGGTAAGAGAAAGACAGGTGGAGAGATCTCTCTCCACCTGTCTTTCTCTGACCTTTCACCTGTCTATCTCTCCGCCTGTCTGTCTCTCTCTCTCCCGTCTGCCTCTTCTCTTTCCCTGTCTCTCCACCTGTCTGTCTCTCACCTTATGGTCTCTCTCCACCTGTCTGTCTCTCACCTTACGGTCTCTCTCCACCTGTCTGTCTCTCACCTTACTGTCTCTCTCACCTGTCTGTCTCTCACCTTACTGTCTCTCTCACCTGTCTGTCTATCCACCTGTCTGTCTCAAAGGACCCGTCCATCAGAGGAGTCTTCCACTTCTCGGCAAAGGAGCAGATGACTAAATATGAAATGGCCGTCGCCATCGCTCAGGCCTTCAAGCTTCCGTCCGACCACCTGATCCCTGTAAATAACATTCATCAATAATCAATACGTATCCATCATATAACCAATCAATGTATTAAATGATATATGTGTAGATGTATATAAATAATTATCTAATCTAGTATCTGTATAAAGTACCTGTAGTTTGGTTTTGATACTTGTAGTATATGCAGTATTTGTGGTATTAATACTGCGTTCCTCGGCAGCTGACAGAGCAGCCGGCGGCATCAGCTCCTCGTCCAATCAACAGTCGGTTGAACTGTTCTCGTCTGGAGCTGCTGAACCTGAGTGTTGAACCGCGACCTTTCACCTCCGCCATCACCGACTGTCTGTGGCCCTTCACCCCGGACAAACGCTGGAGACAGACCGTCTTCCACTGACAGACAGGAGGACAGAGAAATGGGTAGAGAGAGACAGGTGGACAGACAGACACTTAGAGACAGATAGGAGGACAGAGAGACAGACATGAGGACAGACAGGTGGACAGACAGACAGATATATACAGTGTGTGATGATGAATCTTGAACCCTGAGTTTCGTCTGCAGGTTCAATTAGTGAGACCAAACATTATAAGAAGTGTGTGTGCGTGTGTGTGTGTGTGTGTGTGTGTGTGTGTGTGTGTGTGGTAACTTGTGTATTTATTTTTAATTGTTCTTTGTTGTAATGTGAGCAGCAGTTGAGCAGCTGCTGGTTTCTAATGTGACGTCTATTGTGATTCTACTGTTGATGTTGTTCACATTAAACATCTGGAACTGAGTCTGACCTCACACTTCCTGTTTATATGATGACTTAAACCTGAGGTCTGTACTACGAAGCAGGATGTGAGGTCATCAGGTAACTTCAGTTTTAACTCTGGGTTTTCAGTCCTACGATGGTGGTTCACTTGTTACCGGGGTAAATCACCATGGTAACTGACACTGAACTCCTGACCTGCTCCGGCGCAGGTTAACTTCAGAGGATCCAATCAAAACCTGTCAACAGCCAAACTACTGATCAATCAGGTCACTGGAAAAACTGAGTCATCATTCCTACAGGATCCTTACAGGGACAAAAGAGTTCACAATAAAGTGATCAATAATAACGATCAGTAGATAGTTTTCCACTCTGTGCATTCTTTAGAAGCTTTTAAAAGCAGAGAGTTTGTCACGCTAAATAAATATATAATAACTATTATAGTTTCATTTTATTAGATCAAATATTCTTTAATTGACAAGATTAACAACTCCGCCTCTTTCACATGAACAGGCTTGTACCTGGACAGGTAAACCCAGGGTTAACCGTGCCAGGTGATAACCTGCTTCGTAGTTCAGGTTATCAGGACGGTCAGTGTTAGGTTCAGTTAAACCAAATAACTAAAAGTTATCCTGGGTCTGTTTAACTCACTTCATAGTACAAACCTCTGGCTCGTTGACGTGAAAGAGGCGGAGGTATTAATCATAAACAACATAATCAGAACCATGAATGAAGTTCTTAATGTGAGAAGAAACGCTGACACCTGCAGGTAAGTTCAGTTATAACCACGTCTTACTGATATTCAACAAGGTGGAATGTAAAAAATATGATCACGACTGGAATAAAAAATCACTAGAAATAATTTCTAATGATCAAAGTCAGACTGAGGATAAACTGTAAATAAGAACATGAACTTCTTCTCTTCTTTCGCCCGAAGAAACAAACAGCAAACTGAACATGTTCATGTCGAAGAGTTTCTGCTGCAGAGAGAAAGAGAAGAGAAGTAGTTGATGTCTGAAGAAATGTTCATTAATAATCATAACTATTGATCAGTGTGAGAATCACTGTTGGTCTAGTTGTCATTTCTCCTCATGGGATTCTGAGCTCAATGATGAAGAAAACAACAGCTTCATCACTGTCAGGAATCCTGTCCGTAAAACCATCCACTGATCAATACTAATACCTACTGCTCGTTATTATCGATCACTTTATTGTAAACTCTTTTGTCCTGTAGGAATGATGACTCCATTTTTCCAGTGATCTGATTGGTCAGTAGTTTGGCTGCTGACAGGTCCTGATCTAATCCTGTAAATTAACCTGCGCCGGAGCAGATCAGGGGTTCAGCGTCAGTTACCATGGTGATTTATCCCGATAATAAGTGAACCATCGTCGTAGGACTGAAAACCCAGAGTTAAACCTGAAGTTACCTGGTGACCTCAGATCCTGGTTCAGTCCAGACCTCAGGTCCAGGGAGGGAAACGAGCAGAGGAGAAGGAACTGGACTTTTTTATTTTATTAATGACATTACATTATCAGAGTAAGGCACAAAAGAAGTAGCCCAACATAATTAAATAAAAACAAAGACAGACATCAATTATGCACAGTGCCAGGGGTTAATTGTAAACAGAGTTTGACACGATCAAATACAGGACCGAGGAGGACTGAGTCCAGGACGAAGCGCTGATCAACGTCACCTGCCGGAAAATTCACACAAGAAGATCGTGCCTGCACATGCGCAGTCTGTACACGTGGATACGGTCCAGTGTTGGTGAAGATGGCTGCGCCCATAGACCTGGAGCTGAAGAAGGTACAGTCTGATTAAACATGTCTCCTGTTCTCACCTGTCCTCATCTGTCCTCTGTCTTTAACCGAAGCTGCGAGGAGCTAAGTGTTAGTCCGAGGAGCTACGTGTTAGCCAGATGAGCTAAGTGTTAGCCTGAGGAGCTACGTGTTAGCCAGAGGAGCTAAGTGTTAGTCCGAGGAGCTACGTGTTAGCCAGAGGAGCTACGTGTTAGCCAGAGGAGCTAAGTGTTAGTCCGAGGAGCTACGTGTTAGTCCGAGGAGCTACGTGTTAGCCAGAGGAGCTAAGTGTTAGCCAGAGGAGCTAAGTGTTAGCCTGAGGAGCGTCGCTGTTTCCCTGCATGAATCAGCAGGATCTGAGGTTATTGAGGTAACTTCAGGTTCAACTCTGGGTAGTCGGGGTTACGACCATGGTTCACTTGTTAGCGGTGTAAATCACCATGGTAACACACCTCACCTGCCCCTGAGCAGGTTATGTTCGAGATAACCGATCAACGCCTATTAAAGCTCCGCCCACAGACCAATCAATTCGCTTAGATCAATTAATCAGGTCAGTTTAATAAATCAGATTAAAGGTGTGTTAGTTCACTCTGATCATTGCGTTTTTCATTTTACCTGCCCCACACCTGAACGCCTCGTCTGCAGGAAACAATTCTTAGGTGATGGTGACCTGAATGTTGATGTTAGGATCAGTGACAACAAACAAACAGATTTACCTGTGTCAGCTCCTGACTAGTGTGTGAGGGCTGTCCAGGTGTTTTTAAACAGAGTGAGACCTCTGTGTTGCAGGAGCTGTAGGTGGAAGTTGTCCAGGTGTTTCTGATCAAAGTGATACCTCCTGTCTCCTCAGGCATTCTCGGAGCTGCAGGTGAAGATGATCGACACGCAGCAGAAGGTCAAGCTGGCCGACCTGCAGATCGATCAGCTGACCCGAGTCCAGAAACACGCTAAGCTAACTCACGCTGAGATCACCACGCTGCCCGACAACACGAGACTCTACGAGGGAGTCGGACGCATGTGAGTCTCCACGACAGCCAGCATCTTTGTTCACTTGGATAGGTGATGCAGACAGAAAATGTGGCATCACAGTGACATCACAGAGGACATGAATGTGAAGTAAATTAAGGTAAAATCGTACCAAACGAACTGAGACAGGTGAGTCCACATCACTCAGGTGTCACGTTACTGCTGAGTCATCTTAACCCAACATCCATTTTCTTCTCCTGGTCACATCTTGCTGGCAGCAGACTGACCAGGACTCCAGGATGTCTGTCTCTCCAGCTCCTCCTGGGGGTCCCGGGGCATCCCTGGTCCTGATGGGATATGTAGTCCCTCCAGTGAGTTCTAGGTGTCCCCTGGTCTCCTCCCAGGTGACCCCTAGACTAATTCAGGTCTAAGGCTAATGTTACCATGGTAACAATCAATGACACCTGGGCTGACCCAACAACAAAAAACAAGAATAGCTCATATTTGTGGTTTGCTGACATTGTTATGAAGAGAGCAAAGAGAAGAGAAAGAGTTTTCAGACCAAATCCTCTTGTTTCCCGGGGAGAACTATCAAGGTATTTTTGGTGCAAAACAACTGAACACCTGTGACAGTGGAATTGGTAGTTGTATAAAATAGTCACATGTGCAGGGTTTTTTCTTGCATAGAGAATTGGGAGGCGGCCGCCCCCGACAAAATTCTAGTACTTGTTTGAGACTCGTAGTGGAAGATTCAAGGTGTTTGTGTAATAAAAAATATCCAAGAAAAAACAAATTTGGGTTAGGATTATTTGTGAGAAAATATTTTACAGATGTGCAACACTCATTGCATGAATTCACCTTCTGATTTCCAGATGTGCAAATTTTGTCCATGACACTACAAATTTATTTGATACAGTAGTGTGAATGTGTTTTGACCCAGATTCACTGCAGCAACTGTGGTGAAAATGTGAGTGTGTACGTTTCTTAATTTGTGATTTGTAAAACAGGGTTTGTGCAGCTAGGTGTAACTGTTGTTGTCTAAACCTAGAGCATCTTTTCTCTGTGACCTCAGATTTACTGATACGCATATGTGACTCTTTTGTACTAATTCCACTGTCACAGGTGCTCAGTTGTTTTGCACCTAAATTATCTTCATAGAGAATGGTCTCCACCTGGGGCTTGTGAGGATCCCCCCACCCACCAGAAAAGGAGAGTGTTCTCGCTCCACCTCCCTCACCAGCTCAGGCTCCTCCCACCAGAGAGGAGACATTCCACATCCTTAGAACCAGTGTACAACACCGGGGGTCAGCACGCCTAGGTCCCCCCTCCCTCCTTCACCTGCCCTCCGGTCTACACTCCACCCTATTAACACAATATATGATTATTTATCAATGATCTGTGAAGATGAAATGAAACCTAACTTTATCAGATCTCTGACGTTTTCACTTGAACAGAAAATTAAGCCGTTTGTTTAAACCAGACAACTGATAAATAAACCTGAGAGTTGAGACGTGACACCAGTGTTAAATATTCAGGTGTAATCATGTGATCCAGGTGGAGTTGATGAGAAAGAGAAGTCACCTGGTCAGCAGGTGTTCTCTCAGTCTACACTGACACAGTTTAACCAGGAGGTGATGACATGTGTGTTTTTCAGGTTCATTCTTCAGTCAAAGGAGGAGATCAATAATCAGCTGATGGATAAACAGAAAACAGCTGACGAGAAGATCAAAGAGCTCGAGGTACAAAAATCCACACTGACACCTGGTGACCTGGTGCAGGTGTCACAGGTGTGAGAGACTGTGACTTTAGTGGAAACTGATTCTGACAAATTCACACACGACTTTATTTTAACTGGTTTATCCACACCAAGTTCTGCTGCTCATCCAGGACCTGGTTAATGATTGATTCATATTCATGATTAATGATCAATATTAGTGATTAATGTTAATGATTAGTGATTAATTAAGCATTATCACACAAGGGGGAGTGATGTTTTTTATATATATCCAGTATATATATCAGCTCAGCTGTGACTCAGAACATGATGTTCAGAACATCTCTCCCTCAGTGTGATGTTCTACCAGCGCCATGTTAGATCAATGAGCAACAACAGATCTGTTTGTTTATTTCATCATTTATTTGTCACAACGCTAGTAGTTCAACTGGGCTGGTGCTGGACTGTTGCTAAGCAACACATAAACATGTTCCTGACCTGCACAGTGACACTAGCTGCTGCCTCGTCTCCTCGTTCCCTCAGGTGTTTCTGAAGGATCCACCTTCTTCCTTCATCCTCTCCTGACGACATCGTTTCATTCAAACATTATTTCTGAAATATTTTCATCTTTGTTTGTTACAGTCTGAGATCGATAATGACGTTAATGTGACGCTGATTAACGGTTGATAGAACAGCTGTGAGGAGGAGTGATACATGGAGTTAAAGGTCCCAGTGCTGCTGTTCACTATATCAGCCTCATGGAATCACTCTCGTCCAATCAGATCACTTGGTCGGGACTAACTGCTGTATAATGATCAATATTAGTGATTTAATATTAGTTAGAATAAAGCAGCCGAAATCAACAGCAACAGTTTTACCTTTTAATGGTTTCAGACGGGAAAACACGCCTGCAGTGTGTATTACATCCAGTGTGTGTCTGTGCCCTCACTGTGCATATCTGTTATTTCCAGCAGAAGAAGGTGTACCTTGAACGCAGCGTGAAAGAAGCTGAAGACAACATCAGAGAGATGCTGCTGTCCAGAAGAGCTCAGTGATCAATAATCAATAATGTCATAGTGACTTCCTGTTTCTTGTGTATGTTAGTTGTTCATATTAAAATGTTGTATCTTCACCCAGTGTCTGTGTTCCTACTTTATTAAACAAACTAATCACTAACCAATCAATAACCAGTGGATCGGCAGCTTGATGACCGGTTTGTCAACAGGTGAGTGAAGACGCAGCACAAACAGGAAGCTCATCAAACTTTATTTAACTCTGAAACACACACAGGTTTGTCCACATGTTGCTGTGATATCACTGTCTGTGGTGATGTCATCTATTGTTGTTTGGTTTCTGGACAAAGTTGATGGAGTACGATCCGGTGTCCTGATCCTGGTTCACCTGGAAGTTGTTGGTGGAGAGTCCGAACGGCCTCAGGATCATGTTCCCCAGGTCCTTCAGCTTACCTGTGCAACATGATACACGTTACATATTACTTTGGTTTCATCTTACCATTGGCCTTACCTGTAACGTCATCATGACTTTTTATTCCTTACTATAATGACGTTTTTTCCATATTTTATGAACTATACTATGACATTTTAAACCTTATTATATTATTACTTCTCATGACGTTTTTTTTCCTTTTATGCCTTTCTATACTATGATGTTTTTTTTGATGTTTTATGCCTCACTATACTATGACTTTTTATGCCTTAATCATACATATTGATTATATATATCGATTATCTGAAATAATGATTAGTTAATGAACTGAGACAGAAACAAAGGGTGGTGCGGTCAGTACGTACTGATCATTTCCTCCTTCAACTTCTCATTTCTCTCCTGTATCTGCTGAGGCAACCTCTGAAAGACAGACGGGTAGACAGAGAGAGAGTAAAGTAGACAGACGGGTAGAGAGACAGACAGACAGATCAGTGGTCATGTGGTCTTAATGTTTCAGGATGAGTTTTAGTGTTTGATCAGTTGGATGAATCAGCTGATGGGGAGGCTGTGGCTCAGGAGGTAGATTAGGCTGAGTGAGTTGTCCTCTAACTAGAAGGTTGGTGGTTCAATCCCCAGCTTCTCCAGGCTGATTCCAGCCTTATGTTTGGGCAAGACACTGAGCCCCACATTGCCCCTGATGGCTGCATATGAGTGTGATGTATGAATGTGTGTGTAAACAGGTGAATGTGGCAAGTATTGTAAAGGGTTAGGGGGTCCCATTCGTCCAAGCTGTCAGTGAACTTACCATACAGGCCTGCCTAGCGCTGGTCTGGTTCGGGTCTTGGTCCAGAACCTTCTTGTAGTCCTCCAGGGCCTCATCCAGCTTCTCTGTTTGCTCGTAAAGCTCTGCCCTCCTCAGCAACGCCCGCACGTAGTCTGGATTCAGCTCTATCGCTATGGAAACCAGAAATAATGTAGCGATACAAGCATCGGTCAGTGACCCAGTGTTGTGCAGGTGCGCAGTGATGTCATCACTCCCTTGAGGTTTAATATCTACCATACAGACAAGTCGAAAAAAATCAAAAACTGATTTCAATATGAGATTCAACAATATATCAACTCTAGATTCAACTAGTGACAACAGAGAGGCCCCGCCCCTCTCAAGCCCCACCCCCCTCTACTGACGCCAGCGTCAAGGAACACAGCTGCTTCAACACATCCACAGATGTTCAGAGGCTTCAACAGCTCAGACATCATCCCAGAGATCTGACAGCTCCTCACTCTAACACATCACTATTATTATTATTGAAAATGATTGTTATCATTACTATTTTTTTTTGTTTGATTGTTTTGTGCTCCGGTCTCTGTTCACTTTCCCACTTCTGTGTCCATGTTTGAAATGAAACAATCACTCACCTCTAGTGCAGTCTGAGATCGCCTGATCCTTCAGGTCCTGACAGAGAGACACTGTTAGCATCCTGCTAATATCACTGTTAGCATCCCTGTTAGCAGTCTGTTAATATTAACATGTCAACTGCTTGTTATTAGCATGTTGTTAGCATGTTAGCGTGTTGTTACCAGGTGCAGTCTTGCGGCGGCTCTGTTGGAAAACAGGACGGCTCTCTCTCTGCTGAAACAAACTGGACATAAAACCAAAGCCTCTGTGTAGCTGCGCTCCGCCTCCAACCAGTCTGCAGGAACACATTTATACTGGTTAAGAGACTGGTTTACTTACTGGTTAAGATACTGGTTAATGCTGATATAATATTGGTGTAAACTCACCTCCAGCTTTAAACTGGCTGTTTCCTTTTTCCTTCAGAGTTAAACTCTGCTGCTGTCGACTCTGAAACAGACAGAAGATACAGAGAACTCTGAACTCTGTTCACCTGCTGACATTTCACCAGGTAGAGAGGTGAACAGGTGTTACCTCCTTCTCTTCCTCTGTCAGCTCCTTCTCCACCTCCCTCAGGTAGTCATCATCAAACTCCACTGCCTGATTATTCTCCTCCTTCATCTCTGATTCTGAATCTTCCTGCAGCCTGTCGCCCTGCGCCTCCTCCTGCAGCCTGTCGCCCTGCTCCTCCTCCTGCAGCCTGTCGCCCTGCGCCTCCTCCTGCAGCCTGTTGCCCTGCGCCTCCTCCTGATGTAGTCCTCCTCCTCCTATCTCAGTCTCTGTGTCATCTTTTCTGTCAGTTAGTCTCTTAGTTTTTATGTGACAATATTTTGACCCCAATGCATCCTGTCGGGTCCCCTCCTCCTCCTCCTCCCCTCTGGGGTCTGGAGGCTCCAGAGTCTCCTGGCAGTCGTAGAAGTCCTCCTCTTTCTCCTCATGCTCTCTGCGTATTCCAGGTTCTCCACTGCATCTCTGTTCATCTCCTTGGCTGCTCATATTGAAGCTCTGCAAAACCGAATCAATAATATTGATCAAGATAAGTCAAGTCAAGATAAGTCAAGTCTTTAGGAGAGTCAGAGTCTTTAGTGGACAGTTCATGTCAAAGACTTGAGACTTGGTAGTTGGGACAAAGAACATTGAAATTTCATGATTCTCAATACCACAGCAAAAAACAGAAAACAGACAGACAGACAGACAGACAGACAGACAGACACACACACACACCTACTTCCATATAGTCAGTGTACAGCAGCAGTTTAACCTGACTAACATGGCAACAGAGTAGTAGTGTGAAAACATACTTTTAAAAAGAGCAGGTTCACATCACTATGGAAACGACAGAGTGGGAGATACAGACCTCTAATCACGTGATGATCTGTAAGATCAGCATTATTCTTCATATGCACAGTCTCCTCTTCACGCATCACACTGAGACAACAGACAGACAACTGGACCATGTCAGTGTCAACCAACGACACAGCTGATTAATAAACAGTAGAACGTCCATGTACTTCTGATTTGGTCTCTATGTGTTCTCACAGTTAGTCCTGTACTGATGTAAACCTGCTCAAATTAAAGCTGAGACTCTTTATATGGATCTACGACTTACTGTCCACAAACTTATGGCCTGGACTGTGACGATACACAAGGGAAATAAAGCTGCTGTTACTGGTGCAGTCGGTCTCTATCAGACATACTCACATCTCATACTGTAACCATTCATTCAATACATTTTAGCAATCACACCTAATCTGTCAATTCATTGATTAGCTGATCGACAGAAAATTAATCAGCAACTATTATAAGAATCAGTTTGTTTCAGTCATTTTAAACCAGTCACGTGTGAGTTGGCCATTTGTGTGACAACAACATTTAAGGAGGTCACCATGACAGACCAAACCGTTAATCGATTCATCGGTAAACTTCCTGTTGTTCTGAAGAGATTTACTGCAATATAACAAAGGTTTGAGCACGTGTCTCCACGGTAATTGGCTGTTTTTATCCAGATGTTAGTCAGGTTTTTCAGGATTCTGGACTTAAGTATTTATAGGTGCAGGTGTGGGCCGGACTCCCTCTTGATCCAGCGGCGTCTTCAATCAGCAGATTCCCGGTGGGAGTTGTGTCGAGTCCAGGAGCACACGGTCCGAGTCCTCTCAACATTAAAACCTTAATGTCTGAACGCAGTTGCGGCTAACTGCTAACAAACAGCTAACTGCTAACAGCTAACGACTAACAAACAGCTAACTGCTTACAAACTGCGAGGCGTAACAACGTTGTCAACCGGCGGACACTTCACGGACTAGTATGGCGTCATCAGCATGTCAGTTAAATAAAATGTAAAATACTAAAAACTTAAAAAAAAAACAAAAACATAACGTTTAGTTTCTCACCTGCTAACACCTGTTAGCCTGCAGAGTACTCACTCTGATGTCATTTCCGGGATGATGACCTGCTTCTTCTTCGTCTACTGTTGTTGTAGGTTTTTTTTTTTTTTTTTTTAAACTTTATTGAACGACAATGAACAGAATGACAGGTGCTCAGTATCTCAATCTGTGCACAGATACAGTATCGAGTAGTAATAAACAATACATTAAATAACAATAATTTGAGGATATACAGTACAAGTATATTGCAAAATTCAGAATCATACATAAAATCAATGAATAAACAAACAAACAAAAAATATATATGTTAAGGGAAAAGGGGTTATTCCTCTTTGAATAGTTCTTCATATATTTTGACAGTTTTGTTACATTTAGCTGTGTTTAAGAGCTGTAGTGTTTTAATATACTCTAAAAATTCAATTGAAAATCTGAAAAAATTTGGGGAAGTTTTTGCAAATCTGCATTTGTGGATATGAAATTTGTCACACCGCGGTGAGGTCAAGTTGGGTTTTTGTCCTGTCTCCGTGTTTTGTCTTGTCATTTCCCGTTTTATTTTGAAAAGTAACTCTCCTCTCGTTTCAGGTCACTTGCCCTTCCTCACGTGTCACCGGTCTGATTGTCTTCCCTGATTCCCGATGGTGTCCACCTGTTCCCCATTACCCCCATGTGTTCAAATAGTCTGCGTCTCCCTTTGTCTTGTGCCAGTGTGTTCGTCTTCGTCCACATGCACGTGCGTTCACCCCAGCCTTACCACAGTCTTGACCATAGTTGTTTTCACGGATTTCTGTCTGATTCCTCCAAGAGTGATTTTTCGTTGTAACTTTCATAACTTAGTTTTATTTCCATAGTTAATGTTTTCACAGCTTTTTGTTTCCTCCGTGTGGAGCGATGCTTTTATAGATTAGTGCCTCCAGTTTTCAGGAGAGTTTTTGTTGTTTCTATTTTCATGTTGCTATTTCTTTTTCCTCCGTAGCGGGAGTGAATTTCTGTTACTGTTAACGTTTTATATAGTCTTTTGGGTTTCCTCCTTTTAGTGGAGCGATTATTATTTTGGTAGTCTTTTTCAGTCACGCTTCTTCTCTTTTTAAGAAGTGTGTCAGAGGAAGGATTTCACAGCCTGCTTTGTTTTCTCTGTCTTGGAGATCAGAACCTGTTTTCCCAAATAAAGACGGAAACCCTGCGTCCTGCGTCTGAGCCTGGTCGTGACAAAATTTGCCAAATAGAATCAACAAGTTACCTATAAATTCCATTTCCTTGTTTTCGTGATCAAAACAAGTGATGACACATTTACAGTCAATTTTGACATTATATTTCGTTTTACACAAAATATATCTCTCAGTCTGAGTCCACAAGGTTAGTGAACTTGAGCAGTAGTAAAAGAGATGAATTAAAGATTCAGTTTCGTTATCACAGAGCGTACATTTTACTGTTGTTGTAGGTGATCCGGCTTCCGGTCCGAAGCTGTCGTCCATGGAAAACGTCACAAGGTCAAGGAAAGATGTGAAGGAGAATTCATCTCTTTTTTTAAAACTAAGTATTTGTAACACTCCTTTAACAAAACAAACAAACACAACTGAAACGTTGAAACAAGAAAACATGAAAGAAAAATACAAATTGAAGTTTGTAGTTCCTGGCATAGGCACTTTTGATATTTCTATACAATTGTTAAGATGAAATTTCATTTTTATCAGAAGATTTTAAGAGAGGATTTAGTGAAATACTATACTGTCACCTATAGTATTTAGTTATGATATTGTTCACTATAAATTCATCAGCTTGTTCTTCATGATGACTCCTGACTGATTTAAAGAGAATAAATCTATATTTATGGATCTGGGCTTCAGTCGATCAGCTGCTCTGTTGTTTATACATTTATGTGGCTCTGCTGTGGTGAACATTCGTTGGTGCATCACTTTAAATGTCACTTTCTCCTTTTCCTTAGTAAAGGAAGGTCCAGTGTTTCCTAAAAGAGATAAGATTGGAAGCAGTGACGGTACTTTCCTCATCATTTAGAGAATTTGACCAGCTGAAGCTGCTCAGATTATTCCAGGTCATTTCACTCAGTTTGAACCTCCATAAGAAAAATAAAGACTTTTCAACCGGAGCAGAAAAGTCTAAATAATCTCCTTTCTAACAACTTCTCATTTGACCTCGATGGAAAACGTTATGAGGTCAAGGAAAGAAGGAGAGGTCATGAAGACTTTCAGACTCTTTTTAAACCAACTTTATTTATAACACATGGAGGATAAATCCTCCTTTAACCACAAACACAAAACAAACAAAGTGAAATGTTGAGATAAGAAAACATCAGAAGAAAATAGACGAAGTAGAGCCACTAAAATAATAATGAAGTGAAAATAATGAGGTGAGGATGAAGTCACAAGAAATTATATTCAGACAGTTCAGAGAGTTTCCTGACATGGGCACAGAATCATGAGACATCACCTTTATCCAGGTGAGCCCCACCCACTTCAAACCAGAAACAAGAGAGAGAAAACTGCGGTATCAGAGGTGGGAGGGGGGTGGGGTGGAGGAGCGTCGGGTCTGGGCGATCCAGGAGACGAACGCGGAGACTCGGGCGTAGACTCCAGGTCTCTGAGGACGCCCACAGCCAATCCCAAAGGAGGTCACACCTGTCAGGAACCAATCAGAACACAGCATTTCTTCAGACCTCCACTACTGTCAATTGTTCTGTGTTGCGTGTGTGTGTTTGTGAGTGTGTGTTTATGTGACTGACCAATCTGAGTCCAGTGTCCATCATCCAGACACATCAGTGGACCTCCAGAGTCACCCTGGAAACAACAGACACATTAATCAGAGAGAGAGAGAGGGGAAAGAGAGAGAGAAGAGAGGGAGAGAAGATAGATCTCTGACAGTAGAACTCAGTTGAACTGTCAGGCCAGGTGAGTAGTTACCTTGCAGGAGTCGACCGCTCCCTCAGGGAATCCAGCACACACCATGCTGGAGGTGATAGTGTACTCAGGTAACTGACGCTGACACTGATCCTGGACCACCAGAGGAACCTTGGCCTCCTGGAGAACATCAGGGAGGGAACCTGAGAGACAGACGGGTAGAGAGAGAGACAGAGAGACATGTCTCTGAGGTCTGTGTGTGTCCTCATGTGTCTGAGGTCTGTGTGTGTCCTCATGTGTCTGAGGTCTCTGTGTGTCTTCATGTGTCTCACCCTGCTCGGTGACACGTCCCCAGCCAGCGATGAAACATTTTCTTCCAGCTACGAAGTCCTGACCTTTAGCAGGGAGACACACCGGCTGGATGGTCTCTGAAAGACAAACGCCTCTTCATAGTGACATAGCAGCTGTTTTTAAACACAGTTAAGTCATGTGATGGGAAGACAGACATTGTTTTTCTGTTGGACATGAAACTTTGTTTTAAAACTTTGATCTTTATCATTTTTAACCTCAGTGAGTTGACATAAGGCTCTGCTGTAGAAATCAACCTGTTTGCAGACGACACTGTTGTTTATATTCAGTTTTCATTGTGAAGCTTCGGCTTCAAGCTGCTTCAGTTTCACGTCTTCATGATCAGAAATGTTTCTGTTATTATTGATGATGACATTTCTCTTAACCTCCACATGGATGCTCTGGTTAAAAGAATAATATATTCAGTCAAATATTGTTTTTATTTTAATGGAAGCAACAATATTGTGTGTTATAAAACTATATTTTACCTTTAAGTGTTATTTATAATAATGTAGATTTATTTTGAAATGTAAATTTCTTCCCCATCACTGGCTCATATCACACAGTTTACTTTATGCAGTATTTACGCTACAAAAACAGATCATACAGACTATCTGATAACCAGATTATATCTGATCACCAGACAGTTTCTCTTTGAAACCTTGCTGTTGTTTCTAACGTTGACTTTTGAAATGATGAATGAATATCATAAACATTTAGTTTAGTTAATTATTTTGTTCGTCATGTTGTTGTCTCTCTGTGTGTTCTTACTGACGGGTGAAGTTGACTGGCTGCTGCAGATGCATCATGGCAATGTCAGCCTGTTTGCTTCGTCTGTCGTACTGTCTGTTGATGACGATGCGATCAATTGGTCGGGTCTGAACGTCCTCTGAGTTCATATCCGTCTGAGCATGAAGACCGAGAACAGCCGACCAGAACCGGAGGTGGATGTTCTTCCTGTGGAGAAGGACCTGAACTGACATCATGTCTTTAACATGTCTTTATGTCTCTACGAGGACAACTTTTGGACAATCACAACAAAACCGTGTCAACAGAAGAGACGATCAGAGATGTACTGCATGAGTTTCTAAACAGTAAGATAATTTGAAGACAGACTAAGTGTTCTGTTAGCGCCCCCTACAGGCTGCAGCGTTCATTACCTGTCCACACAGACCTGCAGCACAGAGTTGGTTTACCTGAGGAGAACTTAAACAAAAGAGAAGTCAGTGAACCCTTTGAATGACCTGATCTCCAGCTAAGTCACAAACTCAGTGTCTCTGAGCTGATGTCACACAGACAGTTATAATCTCTGTGTCTTCACTGTACCCAGTATTTAAACCTCTCAGCTCTGGTGGAAACAGGAAATGAACCTTGGATTTAATAACTGGTTGAACTGGTCTGAACCCAGACCCTCTTCAGTAGCTGCTAATCAGACCTCAGTGTTCAGGATGAGGTCTGGACTGTTCTTGTTATAGAGCTGCTTCAGTCAGACAGGTTCTCTCTCTGAGCTCAGTAACAGCAGCTCTACTGGGTTCAGGTCTGGGTCTGACTGGACCACTCCACTCTGATATTTAGGGTCATTGTCTTCTCCTGAGCTTCAGCAGGTGGACAGACACCCTGACATGATCCTGAAGAGACCTGGTCCAGGTCCAGAGGCAGCAGAGACCCAGATCCTGCTCCACCTGTGGGAGGAGGTTTACTCCAAACACAGAGCTGATGTTCTTCTACACTCCATCTTCACTCTCTTCAGTCCATCAAACAATTTCAGTCAAACTTCAGCTCAGCAATGCAGCAGCTTCCTCTTTGGTCTCCATGGCAACAGGACTCCATGATGAACAGGGATGTGAATCAGCTCCAGTGATTCCTTTAAACCTTCAGCTGTGACTCTGAGCTTCAAAAGTTTTGATCTGTTGGAGTCTGGACATCACGTCACTGATTCATCTCATCAATAGGCAGTCTGACTGATGAAGATCTGAACTCTTCTTCATCCTCAGTCTGAGACCTTTGTAGTGAGGCTTCACATCAGCTAATGTTTCTCTTTATAATCTCTCTATCTGATAAGTCCTCACTGCAGCAGCTTCTGTTTATTGGTCAAGCTTCATACACGGTTTCACTGTGATTGTTTGAATCATGTTTTTAACATGGACAAAATACTTATACTAATAAGTGTGTTATTAGTTAAAATAGATTGTGTTTGTTTGTTGGTGTAAGTTAGATGAAGATCTGATCACAATTCCAAAGGGCTCACCTCCCTTTTCCTGCGACTACCACAAAAGCGACCAGTCAGATTACAGATGACCAAGAAGCTGAGACCATGAGAAAACATTTCAGAGAGTAACATTAGTCCTCTTCAAAAAGAAAGAAACCCATTCAGGCCCACAGTGTGTGCTGCAGACCAACAATATAAATATACAGTATATGTATATGATTCAACTATGTAATTATATTTAATGTATACATTGTGTATGTATATATATATATATATATATATGTGTGTGTGTGTGTGTGTGTATAAGAGGACACAAATGGCATTTATAGATTCTTTGAACTCTTCCTGTTATTACATGAAACATGATTTGAGTCACTCACCCATAGACACAGTGTGCAGCAGTCAGCAGCCAGTCACGGCCAATCAGTGTGGCTCCACACATATGACGCCCCTGCCACTGCAGAGATACAATCCACGGCCATGCCCCCTTTGCCGCATTAGCTCCACCCACCACTCGGGCCTTACCTGACAGGTGACAACAAACACACAAAATAACTCACAACCGACGATGAAACTGAAACAAACAGGATCAGATCATCAACAAGAGATCAGGTCAAATTTAAAAATAATCTATTTTCTTACCAGGACCCGCTTTCCTCTCTTCTGATTGGTCCATCTCTCTGGTGACATTAGTGACTTGACGAAGTCCACAAGCTAGAACACACAGAGGGCTGGTCATTCTTCACATATAATCATATCAGTTCACTCAGCCTGAATCAATATTTAACTTAACATGAACAAATTAAGTTGTTTCAACGGTCTGTGTTTATGAATGTACTCACGTTGGTTATCACAGTTCAGCGATATCACTTTCTCACTGTGACAGGTTTCACTGTAAAAAAAAAAACAAACAAAAAAAAACAGTTATTACAATATTTTACTGTCCTGAAATATTTTTAACAGTTTCCCCAAATATTGAACTAGTTCTGGTTCTGAAGCTGGTTTTAGCTGTAGATCTGTTTCTGTTACTGGAACTAGTTCTGTCTTTGTTCTAGTTGTCTTCAGTACCTTACACTGGTTTTAATTATAGTTAACCCTAACCCTAGTTCTAGTTTTAGTTGTGGTCCTGGTCTTGCACCTGAGAGTGGTTTCCAGTGTTCCATTACTGGTGACTGTGACGGTTGTAAACGGTGAATCTTGTGGCAGAGCCGGCAGCAGCGAGGCCTCTCCAGACCTGCAGAGATCAGAGACAAAAACCAGGTCTGAGTCTAGATCTCACAACTCTTCTGCAATCGGAGTGAAGTTCTCTCTGGTGCTCACAGGGGAGGTTGGACAGGTGAGAGTTACCTGTATCCCAGGTACTGACAGGTGAAGTCAGACAGGTGAGAATTCCAGGTGTCAGCACACACAGTGAACAGAGTAGAGACGAGTTGAAACTGGAGACGACTGGAACCATTCACCTGCAACACAACTAACACGGGAAAAGTAGTAATGTAACAATGTAGTGACGTGACGCCACAACGTGACGCCACAACGTGACCTAACCACGTAGCCTGAAAATGATCAAAGTGTAGAAATGTTTAATCACTGATCTAAACACTGAGGTTGATGTGTCTGGTGTATAATTATTAATTATTGATTATAAAGCTCACCACAGTCAGCTTCATCTGAGGCGTCAGGACAGTCGACCACAGAGTTACACTGACTGTTGCCATGGATACAACTTCCTGTCTGACACTGGAACTGTCCAGGTGCACACGGAGCTGTTCAGAAACCACACGACTCGTCATGATCAATAATCAATAATACTAATAAACAATGCTGCTGTTTTCTGTTTTAACACAAAGTTTGACCTCTGACCTCTGACTCACCTGGTGACCCTAGGTCAAAGCCAGATGTGAAGTTGGCTTTGAATCCTCGACCGTGTCCTAAGCTGTCTGTAAAGAACCACACTGTCATCTGATTGGTTGTTGAGAACAAGTCGTGGGCGGGGCCATCACTGCCAGTGAGGAAGGCTGGAAGAAAACAAACACGTTAAACCTGAAAATGAACAAACAATGCTGAAGGGGGTTATGGGTAAAACACCTTCTCACCCAGTAAGGTGGAGTTAGGCCCTGCCCCGTCCCGCACCTCTACGACGTCATAGGTCGCTTCAACATCAAAGTCCAAGAAGTGGAGCTGGATGTTTCCCTCTGCAGCGTGGAGAGTCCACAGACCTGGAGCAGCAGAGGATCATGGGTAATTTACAGCACCCAAGTGAGGTTCAGACCAACAAGTAAACAGGCTCTTCTGTGTTCCTGGTTTTTCTGCACCAATAAAGTTAAAGGACTGTCTGTGGGAGGGGCTTCTCTCCTACCTGAACAAGAACTAGGTGTAACAATATGAAGTAAAGGCTGCAGGTGACTCTGGACAGACAGGTGTACTCACAGTGAGCCTTGTTCCCATAGGATTGTGGGTAGTTTGGTGAACTGAAGGTGGAATTTGGCTCCCAGAGGTCAAAGGGTCCTCCACAGTCAGCTAGACCAATCACAGCAGAGGGGGCGGAGTCAGACGTGATCCAGATCACAGGTGTATGTACAATATGACCCTATTCTAATTAACGGCAAATTTATTAAATATTATATATTATTTTGTAAAGACAAAGAACCAACATGTTTAAGTAAAACACATGGTAATAAAAATAAAAGTGACATTACAATGTTTTTATCATTATTTCATAAGACATGAAGAAAATTAAACATAATATCATTAAAATAATATTAGTGAAAACAAAACAATGTAACATTTAATAATAAGTTAGTAATAATAGGTTGAGTTAATAAGGGGGCATGGCCTGAGTCTCACCTGGTATAGGGGGCGTGGTCGTTGGAGGCGGTACATTGGTTGGCTCGGGGGGAGCGGGGCCACAGGGAGCAGCAGTCAGTGTGATGTCATCCAGAGCGATGTCGTTCCTCATCCCTCCTTTCTTAAGAGCTTCAAACACAACCTGCAGAGGTCAGAGGTCACACAACAATCAATAAGTTATTGATGAGGATCAATAAACTGACCACTCTGTGGACCCCTGTGTGATGTCACTGACCCTGGCCTCAGTCATCAGGTTGAGTGTCACCTGGCCGTAGTTCCAGTTGTTGCCATAGTTACCGTCTCTCTGAAACACCACGGAAACGACAGGTTCAGGCTGTGACAGGGACAACGGGAGCAGCAGGACTCGAAGTTGGTGAACGTCCTCTCCAAACATGTGGTACCTGCAGACAAACAGATGTTTGTTTGTTTACATGTTTACTCAGTTATTCATCTACACGTTTGTTTGTTGTTGTCTTGTGTATTTGTTTATTTATGAATTTAAAAACATTCGATATGTTTCAGCTTCTCTTGTTTACTTGATGATTTTTCTCATTTTATTTTCCCGTTCCTTACATGTTCTTTTTCAGTTGTTTACATGTTCATTTGTTCATTTTCTTGTTGTTAAAATGTTTTCGGTTGTTGACTTGTTTATTTTTGGTTGTTGACATATTTATTTCAGTTGTTTACCAGAAGCTCAGACACATGGGCTGTGTGGGCAGAGTGAGAGGGAGGCTGTAGATCCTGAAGCTCTTCAGCCATTGGCCGGGACTCAGAGGCGTGACGATGTAGAAACCTGACAAACAGATCAATTGTATTGATAATGATACTGAAACTGATCATTCCAGTTGCTATGACAACATGATGCCGCCCTCCACAGGAAACCCACCTGAGCTGTTTCCCAGCGTGTGGTCGACACTCGGGCCAGTCAGCGGAGGAAACGTGGAGCCGCTGATTCGAATCCAGTCTCCATCATCCGGGTCCTGCGGCCTCCTCCAGAAACACATGCCTTGCTCAAACGCACAGGTCAGCTTCTGTTGGTCTGAGCAGAGACACAGTCAGTCAGCTGCAGCTAAACACTTTTTATACTCTGTGATGGGAGGTCTTACTGGACAGGTTGGAGGTGTTGGCTGCCCTGTAGGTGGCGCTGAACCCTGACAAGTTGTTGACATCATCAGAGATAAACTCAACAGTTGATTGATCAGTCAGCAGCCACACAGTCCCAGGAGGGGCGGAGCCTGAGAGCTCAGCTGTAAATCACATCGTGTCAGTTAATATTCACACTGAGTTTAGCCTTGAGTCTCTGAATCAGAGGCAGATTACATCACTTCCTGTATCTCTTCTCACGTGTTTTCATGACAAAACGTGGTTTAGAAACCGGAGAGACGCCACAGAACTGACTAATCATATAAACCTCAGTCCACACATACTGTAGCATATAAAACACTGTGGTGAACGTCACCTGTGAGCCGTTTGACTCCTCCCACTCCTTCATACAGTTTCACAATGTCAACGTTTTCTTCTGTTTCAAAGTGGTGGAAGCTGACCTGAACTGACAGTCCTCGGTCGACCCTGAACACAACAACAAACAACAACAAAAATAACAACAACAATGACAAAATAAACAACCAATGACAAAAACAACAACAAACAACAACATGATTTAGTTATATCTTTGATCTGGATTATTCTGGATGAAAAATAAAATTCGAAACATCCTTGTTAATGTACTGTACATGTTATTTACAGTGTGTATATAGGTGTATACAGGTGTGTGTACAGGTGTATACAGGTGTGTTACAGTGTCTCACCTGATGACCCAGCGACATTCACTGCTGCTGTTGTAGCTCTCAGAAGCGTCTGATGAACTGAATGAGCCGTTCGGTCCTCTTAGTACAAACTGTCCATCACATGCTGTCGCTATGGCAACAAGAGTGATGACATCATCAGGCAGTTCTATCTTTGAATCACAGCCGATCAGTCACTCCTGTTGACAGATAAACTTGATTGATACCATCAGTAATAAATGATTGATTAGATAATTACTGGACATCTGTTCACCTGTTGAATCATCTCTTTGATTTAAATAATCTTTGTAGGAAAGATCACTGACCACAGCGAGCGGCGTCTTCATCAGAGGCGTCTGGACAGTCATCCACTCCGTCACAGAACCGATCAATCGGAACACACATTAATCGATTAGCACAGGCTTCCTGATGAGGAGGACACGTCACTGTGGAGACACAGAAAGTATTAGATGGTGAGCAGGAGGCTGAATATGAACCAGACACCTGACCTGTTCTCACCTGTCGTGGGTGTGACAGTCGCAGGTGTGACAGTCCCAGGTGTGACAGTCCCAGGTGTGACAGTCGCAGGTGTGACAGTCCCAGGTGTGACAGTCCCAGGTGTGACAGTCCCAGGTGTGACAGTCACAGGTGTGACAGTCGCAGGTGTGACAGTCCCAGGTGTGACAGTCCCAGGTGTGACAGTCGCAGGTGTGACAGTCCCAGGTGTGACAGTCCCAGGTGTGACAGTCCCAGGTGTGACAGTCGCAGGTGTGACAGTCCCAGGTGTGACAGGGTGTGACAGTCCCAGGTGTGACAGTCCCAGGTGTGACAGTCCCAGGTGTGACAGTCGTCTCATCTGGTTTCTCTGCAGGAAGAGTTTCACATGTTCATCTTGTTTCTCCAGATGAAACATGAAATTTAATCCCAGTTTGAGCCAGACCAGATTTACCTGGTCTAATATCATCAAGTCATCTGATCCAGGTCAGTGGGTTCTGACCAATCATCAACAACTAATGAAGCTAAACATTATGCTAATTTCCTCCTTCATGACAACTGTTTATATCCTGTTTACATTGTGAAGCTTTGGCGCTAATTCAGCAGTTACACAGTCATATCAACTGTGAGTCTAATCTGATTTAATTTGATCTAATATTAGGATAATCTGTCCTAACACCTGTAATTCAGTCTGCTTTGATTTGATTATCTTTTAGTTTAAATCAACTTTTTAAAACATATTAAAAATAAATTAACAATAAAAATAAAAACAGTTTCACAGTATTTTAGCTTCAGTGTCACATGTGACCTCACAGTGACCTCACACTCACCTGTGACCCCACACTCACCTGTGATCTGGATGCTGCTTCTGTCGATTACCAGTCCTCCACTGTCTGCCTCCTGAAGCCCCGCCCCCAGCAGCCGCTCCGCCTCCTTCACATCAATCAGCTGATTGAACCAGAGGTCAAAGGTCACGGCCACACTGCCCCGACTGAGGACACAGATCAATAACAGTTGTCACGGTATCAATAAGTTCAGAATCACCAATTAATCAATCAATCAATCAATCAATCAATCAATCAATCAATCAAATGCAGCTGAGAAGTAAAGGAACTAAACAACAGATAATCAATAAATAAATTAATTAATCAGTTGAAATGAAAAATCAAACAGGAACTTCTGCTTTCTAACAGCTGTGCTGTTGGAATGAAACTAATCAGCCTGCAAATCATTGATCATTGATGATGTCATTGATCCTTCGATCAACTCTGTAAATGAGATACTGATTAATCAATTTGTTATTGATGATTGATCAGTAATGATGTGCTTGAGCGATAGTGATCAGGTATCTGACCTGAAGTGTAGCACCTGACAGGACTTGTAGAGTCGTCTGAGCTCAGTGTGGGCGAATGCCTTGGACACCTGTCGACCAATCAGAGGTCAGACAGAGATCAGCTGATTTTACACCTGTAGACAGACTCTTGTGATCAAAGTTATTAGATCAGTATTGATCATTCCAGTTCATAAACATTGACGGAGGAGTGTCTCACAGCTGAGAAAAAAACCTCACCAGGAAGAATATCCCCTCTTTACTCTGCAGAATTTCAAAATAAAAGCTGCTGAATCTGCCTTTCTTTCAAAATAAAAGCTGCTGATGTTACCAGATGCTGGAAAGCTCTATTTCAAAGTAAAAGTCTGTGAGCTCACCAGCTGCTGGACGTCGAAGGCCAGAGATTTAAAGAGCAGACTGCTGCGGTTCCTCAGTTCCTCGTAGAACACGGCTCCCTCTGTGATCACCATCCGGCCGCTCAGCACCACTGGCTCAACGGCACCTGAGCACACAAACAACATCATCAACACTGATCAATAGCCCCCTCTGATCAAGTGGTAAAGACCAGACGCACAGTCACCTTCAGGCCTCAGGCTGATCCACGAGATCACGATCAGTCCGACACAACAGACGAGAAGCAGAGAAGAAACAACGCAGAGGAGAAACTCCAGAGACGACAGGCGCTGCTTCATCCTGTCAGCTGCAGGGATCAATACACAATCAATCAATCAATCAATCAATCAATCAATCAATCAGAGAACAGTAAAGTCATTCGTTCACTGTTGATCAGGTCTGGATCAGTAGAGTCCAGATTTGTTTCTGAAGTGGTCTCTGATGGAACCTTCATGTAAACCGGTACAGATGACCTCCATCTGAATGCTGATTCCACTTCCTGTCGGCACAGAACATGGACTCACCTGTCACCTGCGTGAAACCAGTTCACCAGCTGTTTGTTCAGATCGACAGTGTGAAGTCCAGGATCAGGAACACTGGAGTGTCTGTTCTGTCTGACTCTGGATCTGATCTGTGCCCAGTTTTTATTGGACTGGAAATGATTGATGAGTCGTTATCAATATGGCAGCTCTAAATCATTTATGTTTGTGCTGCTGGGAACACGAAGAAGATAAACCGATGACCTGACACAGAGATAAAGTACATCTCCTGACCCTGAATTTAAAGGTTCAACAGACAGGGAGAAATTACCCATCATCCTGTGCAGTACTGGCTGCTACATATGTCACTTCCTGTCACAACAGAAGAAGCTGATCAATACTTTGACTTATGTGGATGTATATGTTTATGTATGTGTGTATATATATATGAAGGTATATATGAATATGTATATAATTTTATTGCTTTTTTTCTTTATTTCATTATTAGATTTATTCTATTAATTTGATTAATAATTATATTGTATTTTATTTTATTAATATTATTATTGACATTTAATTCCTTTGATAATTGTGCTTTGACACATTGATTCTCTGCTTGTCTTCATGTTAGTCTGAATCTTTATTGTGTGTGTGTGTGTGTGTGTGTGTGTGTGTGTGTGTGTGTGTGTGTGTGTGTGTTGTGTTCCAAGTCCAAAACTGGTACGGGTGACGACCTGTTAATGACCTGACCTGTCAATCAAACAGCAGTAACTGCACCTGCCTGGGGCGTCACCAACACTACAGGCAGTAAACCTGTCAGGTAATCTACTTTTATCTGTCCCCGCCCCCTGCTCTCACCTGACAGGTACAACACAAACAGGTGAGGAGACTGGAGACACAAACACATGGAATATTTGTAACTCTGGAATATCTATAACTGTGAATAATAATCAGTTAAAAGTTGATTATTAATAATCAACATGTAATAAACAGTTTACAACAGATGGATTGAGAACAAACGTCAGCTGATTGTTTGATTTTATTTTTTACAATGAAAATAAACAACATGAAAATTCATTTTCAGTCTGGATTTACATCTGATCAATAACAATTTTAAAATGACTGAAAAACAAGATCTGGTTAAATGTTGCTGAGATCAAACCCTTTAACATCTGTGACCTGATCCAGACCTGAGACTGGATTCATATATCCGTCTCTGCTGAGTCACTCCAGTTTAATCTGGTCCAATGTCTGATGAAGAAAATCCTGATCAATAATCACTAATAATAACAAAAACAACGTTTAGAAAATTTAAGTTTGGTTGATTGTGAGTTAAAAAAGAAATTTTGTCATTTTCGAAAAGACATTTAATGAACTAATTGAATTTAATCGAATTTAATTGGCGACTCTTTGAAAAATATTTTATTATTATCATTTCTTTTATGTGTCACATCAAAAATAAAATGGAATATTTTTAATGCTTAGAAAATGACTGAGTTTGGTTGGTGGTGCAGCTGAAAACATTTAGTCAGCCAATCACATCCCTGCTGTCATGGCTCTGGAGCAGCTGAGCCAATCACAGAGACAGATGATGACAATGAGTCATCAGTGTGAACACACAGTTTAACAGTTATGGTAGAGATGAAAGTGATGTTATTGTGATGTCATCAATCTGATGCTTTATAACATTTGTAGGAAAAATTTGATTCGACGGTTTTAGCTCAACACACTTCAATCGTTGTCCCCACCTGGTTCATCACTTTTCAGTGTCCCCTGGAAACAGCTCATGTGTTTTCTTCAGTTACAGTGTTGAGCTCTCCGGGCCACCATAGACGTTTGCTATTCATTGTGAATGAGACCTGAAAGGCTCAACTTTATTCAAATCTCGTTTGACACAGACGCGGGTGACGGCCTGAAGAGAGCCAATCAAGATTGTCCTGATTCCAGCGGGAACAGAAACACAGAGTTGGTTTATCTTGAACTTTGTGAACTTTAAACAAAGAGGAGGGAAAACTGACGACATCTCTACGACAAGTCTTTAACGAGTTCCCCAGACAGAAAAACAGGAAAAATGAATCACAACACTGTCAGCTGTTCAATCAGAGCAGAGGATCACATGACTGCACCCAGACGTCCCTTCATGTCTGTTCAGGACGGACGTTTGAATAAAGGTTTGTCCTCAGAGTGACGAGGACGCTGTTCGTCTCGTCAGAAACATGAAATCAGTTTGCTCTCAAATGTTCACCTTTCATTTGTTATAAACTAAAAGTGAGAAACAGATTCTGATTGGACGAGACGATCAGGAGAGCTGGTAGATGTTCTTCATCATCAGCTCCTTCTCCTCCTCTTCATCATCTCGGAGCTCTGAGAAGATCAGGGCAGGAGTACAGTCAGGTTTACAGGTAAACTGTCTCTTAGCAACAACTGATGTCATCCTGGGTTATTACCTCTCTGCTCCCGCTCTTCTTCTTCTCCTCTCTTCAGTGTTTCTCCTCCTCCTATGACCTCCTCCTCCTCCTCTTCCTCTCTGCACTCATCAATGTTCCTGTACGTCGACTGTTGAGAGAAGAAGAGAGACGATGTGTTCAGGTACCAACGGTTGAACTCACTTCTACTGTGGGTTTAAAACAGCAGCCTGCCAGTCAGAGCTGAGGGCACCAAAACCCTCAGTTCTCTGATTGGGCCTCACCTGATGGGTGTGACGTGGCGATGTGTCATTGGCGGAGGGGAGGAGCCCATTGACGAGCTGACCAATGGTTTTGAAGGTTGGTCTGTCGGTGGGCTCCAGACTCCAGCAGAGAGTCATCAGCTGATACCTGTGAGGACAGGTGTGTTATATTCAACACAACTTTATTAACACCGACATGAACCTGTCTGTCCACTTACATCTCTGCTGGAGCAAAGTCTGGCCGAGCCATGTGACCGCCATCCATGATCATCTTGTAGAAGTTGGTATCCACGGCAACATTGGGATACGGACTCTTACCTGAGCAGGTAAACACAGAGACAGTCAGAGGTGAGAAACATCCCAATCAAGACATTTGAATTAATCAGAACATTATGTCATGCTGATGTTGTCTCCATGGTAACACATAGAAGAATAAACCTGAAACATTTCTACCTGATAACTAGGACCACAGAAGTGTTTAATGCCACAATCAATAATCAATATTTATCAAGATCAGAGCTGTAATGTTACTGGATGTCGAGTGTTGCCATGGTTACCCAGAGAGAAGATCTCCCACAGTAAGACTCCATACGACCAGACGTCACTCTGCACAGTGTAAACACACTGAAAGATGCTCTCAGGAGCCATCCACTTCACCGGGAGGCGGGCCTTTCAAAATAAAACACACAGAAATGTGTCTTATTTTGTCAACAGTGAGTTTTGTCAACGGAGTGATGAACATTTAGTACCCTGCAGACGTCTGAACAGGTAACAGTGTTGTTGTTGTTTACTCTGACAGGCAACAGTGTTGCTGTTTACTCTAACAGATAACAGTGGTGTTGTTGTTTACTCTGACAGGTAACAGTGTTGTTGTTTACTCTGACAGGTAACAGTGTTGTTATTTACTCTAACAGGTAACAGTGTTGTTGTTTATTCTAACAGGTAAGAGTGTTGTTGTTTACTCTGACAGGTAACAGTGTTGTTGTTTACTCTGACAGGTAACAGTGTTGTTGTTTACTCTAACAGGTAACAGTGTTGTTGTTTACTCTAACAGGTAACAGTGTTGTTGTTTACTCTAACAGGTAACAGTGTAGCATTGGAACACTGACGTTTCCTTGAACGATGTAGCTGTCGTCGTTGCGAATGTCTCGAGCCAAACCAAAGTCACAGATCTTTGTAACGCGACGATCAGTCAGCAGGACGTTTCTTGCCGCCACGTCTCTGTGGATACACTGAAAGAGAGGCAGACAGGTGACAGACAGGTGACAGAGAGAGACTGTTGCAAAAAATTTTACTGCTGATATAATAAGAACATTCAGCATGTTACTGTACATGTGCTGGTATTTTGATGACGGCCATTTTTAATTTTATACCATCGTAGGGAGGACTTTTCTACATTGTGAGAATTTTGGTTGGTCCTTATTACTTGAAAGGAATGTTTGAAGGGACCTGGTTTTAATGCTTGGGTTCAGATCAGGTGTCCGGGGCCTGGGAATGCATTTTATCAATGAGAATTGTCACAAGTATAGACAAATGCGTTTGTGTTTTCTTACATTTCTGGTGGACAGGAAGTCCAGACCCTGAGCCACCTGGTACGAAAACCTCATGAGGTCACTGACAGATAGGCTGTCTGTCTGTACACCTGAGAGACAGACAGGGAATTAGACAGGTCTGACCTCACAGAGACAGAAACTGTGGGTGTGTTCAGGTGTGCTCAGGTGAGTTCAGGTTGGTACCCTGGTGTGTTTGTCCTGGGTTGAGAACTGGCAGCATCTCCTGATACTCTGAACAGCACGAGATCCCACTGTCACTGAAACACAAATGATTGGATATCAGAATCAGCCAGAAGCCACACAGCTGATGACGAAGCATGAATGAAACAGCTGCTGTCAATCATCTGATGTTAGTGTGACCTCAGAGCTCTGCCTGAACTAACGTCTCAGAAGAAGTTTTAGATATAATAAATAAAATGATGTATTGTGCAAATCTTGATTACTTTCAGGAGCAGATCAGTCTTTATCACTGTCATTCTATTTATAACAGGGCGGCTGTGACTCAGGAAGTAAAGCGGGTCGTCCACTAATTAGAAGGTCATGGTTCAATCCCCAGCTCCTCCAGTCCGTCTTTGGGCAAGATGCTGAACCCCACTTTGAGGGTTTCTTTTGCATCAGTGTGTGACTGTGATGTATGAATGTGTGTGTGAATGGGCGAATGGCAAGTATTGTAAAGCGTGGTCAGTAAGACTAGAAAAGCGCTGTATAAGTGCTAGTCCATTTACCATATGTCATGGTGTCAGCCTGGAGGCGCCAGGTTTTTGGTTTTTTTGGACTTTCTTGGTTGGGTTTTCTGTGTTTTGGATTTCTGTTCTGGGTTTTGAGAGTTTCTGGTTTGGGTGTTTCTGGTGTTTAGTTTAGTCTTCCCTGTCTTGTGCTCTGTTTCCCCGTGCACTTCCTGTTTTGTTTTGATAGTCATATCACCTCAGTGTCTGAGTTCTAGCTTTACTTCTTTTTGTTAATCATCCCTGATGTGTCCCACCTGTGTCTGCTTCCCCACCTGTTCTCCATTGTTAATCAGTTCCTTTTAAAGAGCCCTTGTTCTGTCTTGTCTTTGTGGGATCATTGTTTGTTGGTTGTGAGGTTTAATGTGTGTTTCAGCGACTCATGTTTGGACTTTGGTTTTTTTTGGAATAAATTCTTTGACACTGCTACCTTCTCTGCATTTGGGTCCACCCCTTACTCCTACTTACCTCAAGCGCATGACACCATAACAATATTATTTCTGTATATTTTTGGGTTTATCAATTGCTCTCATCAATTTGGATCAATTTTCTTATTATGTTATCACATTATGAATTATGTCTAATCATGGTGTTCTTCAATGATTCTTTCTTGTTCTTTTGTTCTCTTTATTAATGTTTCAGTCTCTGCATTTCATCTGTTTGTGTTACTCTTTGCTGATGACACAGTCTTTAACACACACACTTATTTCTCAGGCACATTGTGAATTTAATTTAGAATTTCAAAATAGTTCAGATCAAACAAATGTCTTTAAATGTTATTAAATCTGATTTCTGACAAAACCCAAGTTCTTGTTGTGAAGGACTTTTTCCAGTTGATGCTTTAATTGTAATGAACTTGATCTCAGGTCTAACTGATCTGGATCAGTTATTTCAAACCTCCTGAGTCTGCTGTTCTGGGCGGCCATGTTCTTATAGAAAGCCTCCTCCTCGACTTCATCCACACTCAAAATGGACGTCATGAAGTCCTGAGCGTGAGCCCGCAGGAAGTTCAGCAGGTCACCATGGCTACAGTACTCTGTGATCATCAGCATGGGACCTGGTGGGGGTGGGAGAGTGGGTTAGATGTCAGTCAGTCTGCTGTGTCTTCACTGAAAAGGCTGGAGGGACACTGTCCTACAATACACTGCAAAAAGGAAAATATCAGGATACGTTTTGGTTTCTCTTAAAAACACTTAAGAGCAGTGACATGCTGCAATTAATTATTTTTCATTACTGATAAATTCTGAGTATTTTCTCATCAACCAATCAGTTGTCTTATCTATGGGTGGGGGCAGTTTGTCACACAGCTGATGTATAGACAAACACACTCACACCTGCATATGTTTGGACTGTGGGACAAAGCTGGAGAACCCGGAGGGAACCTACACAGGAGAACATATGAACTCCAAACAGAACAGTTCCGGACAGCAGGTTTGAACCCAGAATCTTCTCCCTGTGAGGCGACAGTGCTATCCACTGCACCACTTTACACTTTCTGACTTCCTGTCTGTGGTTCTCAACCCTTCGCCCATTGGTTGGTCCTGAAGACGTTAGATCTTTAAACAGACAAACTTTAACTTTTAAAGAGGCTCAGTGATTCACTAAAACAGCTCCTTGCTGTAGTTTTCATCAAACAGGAGGAAATAGTGATGTTGTTGGGAACTATTTTTAGCAGCGTATTAATCTACATTTGTATTTTCAGCAGTAAATAGTCACATTGATCTGTTTGTGGCATGCCTTTACTTTTATTCTGATATCTAATGATTAAAACAGTCATCACCTCCTCGAGTGCAGGCTCCCAGCAGGTTGACGATGTTGTCATGGTAACCAAGATGGCTGAGAATCTTCAGCTCTGACATCAGAGCTTCACGTTCCTCTGAGTGAGCACTCGCTGTTCATGAACAGACCAGATTATCTCATTACAACAGTGGAGTGTCACACACATAACAATAATAATGATGATGATGATGATGATGATGATGTTTATGAAGGTTTGTGGACTTACGTTTCAGCATCTTGACGGCGACTCTAGTGACGTTGTTGTCAGTTCCCAGACCGTATGCTGTTGCCTCGACGACCTTCCCAAATGCTCCCGAACCCAAAACAGCACCTGATACGAGAGAGGTCAAAGGTCGAGGACTAAACCACAGAGAACAGAGTGACTACACCTGGACAACAGAGTGGAGTTCACAACTCTCAGCTGTTAGAAACAGGAACACTATCAGTGTCTACACTGACTTTTATTTTGAAACATCCCTCTGCTTTGGCGTTTTGACAGATTTTGGTTTTGAATCAGACGGCTTTGTACCAAGGCGGAGTTTGTCTCGTGGAAACTCCCACTTGTGGTTGTACGGCAACTGGGTGGGGTCAACAAAGGTGTAGTTATTTCCGTCTGTGCTCTCGATGATCTTCCAGCGTATCTCATACTTGGGTTTCTGGTAGAAGAAGAAGAGTCGAAACGTCATGGGAATGATTTCAGGTAGGGTGTGCAGGTTGTGAATGAAGCAGTGAATAAGTGACTCTGTCAGGACAAACATCACTCTTGTACCTCCATTCATAGGCTCCACCTACAGAGTCTTCTACAGTAGAACTGTAAACCCTGACAACAGACCTGGAGTCAGTCGTTAACCAGAAGGCTGAACTCTGCAGCTGATGCACTTCCAGTAGAAATAAGAAGGCAATCAACTCCCTGTAACATTCCTCCAGACTCAACATTGACCTCTCTGACTCTGCAGTGGTTGGATCTATCTTTGTTCAATCAACAACAAGAACTGAGCAAGGCTGCACCTATGTGTCTTATTAACATGAACATTTGTGTGTACACACTAAAAAATGCTCAGTTATTTTAATAACCCAACTGCTTGGTTATAGGTTGGGAAGGTTTGACCTAACATTAGGTTAAATACAGTGACATTAGGTTACGCTGCATCATTCAAGTCCGTCATTTTTATGCATTTTAAGCTAAAAAAAGAAAGACTTGGTTAACTTGATATATTTTGATTGTACCAATAAAAGAACAGCTGGGACATCATGTGCTTGTTTCATCCTTTCATCATTTATATCAATTTTACTTTAATTTTACATTAGCAGCAGAAATTAGAAGAAGCAGACATTAATAAGTCGATAGTGATAACATAGAGTTTGGGTTGTTTTTTTTCAGCCCAACTTTTTGTAGCTTTACTTCAACTACATGGTCATTTTCACACATTTCTGGGTGGAGAACAAACCTATAACCCAACATGCTGCTTTCTGACCCAGAACTGAGTTATCATAGTAATCACAGTAACCACAATAACCCAGACTGTTCAGACAGTTTTCATTCAAACCCAATAAGTCCATATGATGATGACAACACGTACCTGTCTCCACTGGTAAAAGACAAACAATAGCAATAGGAGGAGGACGGCAGCAGCGCTCAGAGCTCCAATCAGAGCCGGAGTGAAGAACATTTGAGGTTCTCCTATAGAACCTAAGAGCACAGGAAGACATGTTCAGTAAAGATGATCTACACCTGTCACAGATACAAAACCACAAAGTGCTTCAGGTGTTCATACTCTGAGACTTCCAGGGTCTGAAGACATCACGAGACTTTCCCATCTTATTGGAGGCAACACACTCGACAGTGACATCATCACCAGCTGACAGAGGGAAGTGTTTCCTCACCTCTTCCTCCTCTTGCTCCTGTGAGGTCACATTAGCTGGAGACACCTGATAGGTGGAGACATCTCCACACCTGCAGAAGAGGTGACAGTGTTTTATCTGTTCTGTAAACTCATTTTGAATGCACATATTGGAATGTCCCGTTGGAGTCACAGGAAAATGATAAAAGCAAGGACCCTGAACTTGATAGAATGGTTGAATCTACCACAGACTACATTAACTTCTGTTTGGATGCTGTAGTACCAGCAAAGACTGTACCCTGCTTTTCAAACAAAAAACCCTGGATCACCAGTAACATCAAGACCCTCCTCAAACAGAAAAAGGAGGCCTTCAGGGAAGGAGACAGGGAGAAGCTCAGGTGTGTGCAACATGAGCTGAAGAGGAGATTAAAGCAGGCGAAGGAGGACTAGAAAAAGAAAGTAGAGAGGAAGCTGCAGCACAACAACACCAGAGAGGTGTGGAAGGGGATGAGGACCATCACTGGCTATAAAGAGAAGAACAGCCAAGCAACATCAGGTGATGTGGACAAGGCCAATGAGTCCAACCTGTGTGTGACACAGCCTCACCTGTTCTCTCTCCCACTGCTTCAGCTGCAGCTTCTCCTACAGCATCTCCTCCACAACCTGACATTGCAGCTGCAACTCCCTCCACACTAGGGTCAAGTCTCCTGACCTTTACAGCGGAGGAGGTGAGGGTGGAGCTCAGGAGGCTCAGAGCTCAGAGACAGTGATGAGCAGCACTGGGACTCCACCGGGGACTGTTCTGACTCGGTTCCTGTTCACCCTGTATATGGCCAACTTGAAATTCAACTCTGAGTCCTGCCACATCCAGAAATACTCAGATGACACAGCTATTTCGGCGTGTATCAGGAACAGGCAGGAAGAGGAGTACAGGGCACTGACGATGGCCTTCAGTGAATGGAGCAACAAGAACTGCCTCCTTCTGAACAGCTCCAAGACCAAGGAGATGGTCATGGACTTTCGGAGGTCTAGGCCCTTCAGCCAGTCAACATTCGAGGGAAGGACATTGAGGTGCTGCACTCTTATAAATACCTAGGTGTGCACCTGGACAGTAAACTGGACTGGTCCCTGAACACGGATGCCATCTACCTGAAGGGGTGGAGCCGGCTCTTTTTCCTCAGGAGGCTCAGGTCCTTTGATGTCTGCAGTGAAATGCTGCATGTTTTATCAGTCAGTGGTGGCCAGTGAACTCTTTTATGCTGCAGTCTGCTGGGGAAGCAGCATGTCAGACATGAACACAAAGGCTGAGTCTGTGCTGCAGGAGTCTGGACTCATTCTTTTAGACAACATCAACCATCCTCTCCACAACATTCTGGCAGGACAGAGAAGCAGCTACAGCTGCAGCAAACGTCTCATCTCACTGCAGAACAGAGAGGTTCAGGAGATCCTTTGTTCCCACTGCCATCAGGCTATACAACACCTCAGCCAAAAGAAGTGGACTGATCTAATTATTATTGTTTATTTATTATTATTGTTTATTTATTATTAACTGTTTTTATTATTATTATTATTATCAACAATGAGCTAATGGACACATGAATTTCACCTAGGAGATAAATAAAGTATCTATCTATCTATCTATCTTGTGTTTTTGTTATTTGACTCTGTAGTTGAATCAGTTACTTTAATTTATGTTTAAAGAAACAAAGAACATAACTCAGTTAAAAATGACAAAACTACATCTTCATAACAGAAATGTGTTTGTGTCATATATTGTGAGTTGATATCACAAGTTCATGTAACTATTTCTATTAGCTACATGTATTTTTCCTCTAGCGCCACCCTCAGGGCAAACTTTATATGTTCAGGTTCACAGCACTTTACACTGTCAATCTGTGTGGTACATACGTGTCTTGGACTCCAGCACAGGTGTACCAGAGGATTGTGGGTCGTGGATATCCAGAGCTGATGCAAGTCAGGGTGTCATTCTGCAGAATGACCTCAACACTCGGAGAACCTGAGAGAAGAAACTTTATTTTATATATTTATTGACTACATAGGATAAATACAACAAGATATACAGATAGCTAAACATTTATAGATCATGTAATAACTAGAAGAGAAAAGGAAAACTTCTGCAGTGAGGAAAAGGAGTAATAAAGTTTGTTACGGAAGATTCGTAGATCGACGTTCTGCAAGCCGCTGAAGAACGAGTTTGAGAAATGAAACGAGTATCGACCTTGATCCTCCTTACGGACCCGCCGCAGCAGCAGGCTCGCCTCCGACCTGAATCATGAAGAATACCACCTTAACAACCCTTAGCACCTACAATACCACCTTAACAACCCTTAACAATACCACTTTAACAAACTTAAACACCCACAGTATCACCTTAACAATCCTTAGCACCAACAATACCACCAACCTTAACACCAAAATGAACACCTTAACAAACCATAACACTTTAAAACCAACACCACCACCGCAGCAACACCTGTAACACCACCTTAAAAAACCTTAAAGTTGTATTTTTGATGCACCTGGTCTCTGTCCAACCTGCTGTAGAAATCTGATAATGTTTGCCTGTAGTAGCTGCTAGCACAGTTAGCGTGCTAGTCTGTAGTTGTTAGCATGCTAACCTGTAGCCATTAGCAGTGTAGCTCTCATGGTACACTGTGTTGTTCTTGCTGTTGGTGTGTGTTGGTGTCATCCAGTCCTGGTTGCTGATTGGAGGATACGCCTCCATCACAAATGTTAGCGTCACATCTTGGCCTTCATACACTTCCACTCTGCTACTGCCACTAATATTAGCACTGCTAGCACCATCTGTCCTTTTGGGGTTAACATAAGCAATCATTTCACGATTCACTTGCGGTGAAGCATGGCTAATGTTAGCATCTGGCTCTCGTTGCACATCCACTGGCATGATGCTAACATTAGCAAACAGGTACTTGACGTCTGTGGACTTGGTGTTAGCATTAGCATGCCGTGTTGGCTGCAGATAGATCCTCAGGTAAGGATGATCTAGTGAGGAAGAGGAGAAAGTAAATGCCACTGAATCTGTCCATGTTTATGCTCCAGGTATTATCTCTCTACAAGTTACAGACACTATGATGAAAAGGTATTATCTTTTGTCTGTTTTATGATCTTGTTCCATGGTAATTTTGTTCTGTACTCTCTCTATATTTCTCCCATGAATTACATTCTTGTTCCCCAAAGTTATTATTGTTCTATCTCTGTTTATTTATAATCTTGTCTTTCAACCAAATATTCTTACCCAGAACTCTGAGCTGTGTGGTTGCCGTGGCGACTCCATCTTCGTTGGTGGCGGTACACGTGTATGGTCCACTGTGTTTCAGACTGACAGCAGAGACAGTCAGAGTGCCATTGATGTACAGGCGGTGGTTGCTATAGTGACGGCTGAGAGTCATGTTCAGTGCCTGAAATAAACCATTGACAACCATTGACATCAAAAGAGTTTGTCAGGACTACAGACACACAGGTGACCTTTGACCTCTCACCTGTATGTTTGGGTGTGTCCAGGTGAGATAGTAGAGGTGGGAGGGGTTACTAGTCAAACAGGTGACCTCAAACTTTTCTCCTTCCAGGCAGACGAATTTATCCTGACTGACAGAAAGGGTGGGAGGACGCAGCCCTTCAGACAGATAGGTAGACAGACAGGTGTGAAGTCAGGTGGAGAGACCAATAGAACAGACAGGTTTACAGACAGACAGGTATACAGACAGACAGACAGGTATATGGACAGACAGGTATATAGACAGACAGACAGGTGTACAGACAGACAGGTATACAGACAGATAGACAGACAGACAGACAGACAGGTGTACAGACAGACAGACAGACAGACAGACAGGTATACAGACAGACAGGTGTACAGACAGACAGGTCTTACTGGGGACCACCATCAGGTTGACACATTTGGATCTGAACTGCTTCCCATCCCTCCAGCCTGAACACACATAGCGGCCGTTGAACGACCTCTGCAGGTCTCGGATTAGGGCCCCTCTGTGGGGGTCAAAGGTCACATTCATGCCCTGGGGGAGGCCCCCCTCCCTGCTCTCCGATTGGAGGGTGAGATTTTTCACAGATGGGTCAGTCAGCAGACACTTGAACAGGAAGTCCTGTCCTTCTTTGGCATCAGGGTCTCTGCGAGGAGTGACGAACACACTGGATGGGTCGGTTGGGTCTGAGAGAGAGAGAGCGAAAGGTGAGTAATCATCTACCTGTGATCACCTTAAGGTGAAACAGAAACCAGAGCAACCAAATATTAGAGGAATTACAAACTTGTGAAATAGTTTGTGGTTTGGACTCTGGCAGGTGTGAGGCATCAGCTGATCTTACCTTTGATGTACAGGTGGATCCAGGTGTCCAGGTGTTCCAGGCCCTGGGTGGTGTACCCACAGCGGAATGTTCCAGTGTGTCGAGGGACTGAGCTGTTGACTTCCACCGGGTTGGGCAGTTTGTCCTGGTACAGCAGACAAAATGCAGTGCTAGACCAGCGGATCGAACCATTGCCATGGCAACTGATGGTGAAGGCGGAGCCGGCAGTCAGAACCATCTCGGTTTGATTTGGCAAAAAGTCAGAGTTCAGATGGATCGATGGAGCAGCAGGAGGATCTGACACAAAGGAACGGTAATGTGATAGATGCACAACAACACTGAAACACATCTGGAACACTAACAACGACAAAGCACCAAATGCTCAGGACGCTGTAACACAGACAGACACGGCCACTGGATGGATGATAGAGTTGGATGGATGCATGACTTTATTTAAGGATCATTCAAAGTTAAAAATCATTGACATCACATTTGATTTACAGCAAAATGAAATGAGTGAATGAAATAACAATCAAGCTGAGCTGTTTCTGAGTTTCTGATTGGCTGCTACAATTTCAGCAACTGATAATAAATGGAAAAGTGATGTGAGTCATCAACTCTGAGATTCCTGTTAGAAACAACGTCCTACTTCATCTCAGAAAAACAGATCATAAGCCAATAAGAACCTTGATTATCAATGTGTTTACTGATACACAACATCATTCTCACTGATTTACCCACAACAGGTTTGCTCCTGGTTAAAAGGTTAATAACAAACAATTTCATTGGTTAACTGGTGTAAAACATGAAAATCACTGGCTAGTAGTATAATTACAGATTAACCTTATTGGCTGGTTTAGAACACATTTCACCGTCATTACAAACATGATTTCATTGGCTGCCTGTAAAGGATCAGAGGATCTCATTGGCTGGCAGCAGCAGGTTTCTTGGTGATGTCCTGCAGGTGGGTTGCGATTCGGGATGTCTGCAGCAGTAAAGCCTGATGGTTTTCAACCAGCAAACTCTGGTGACGTGCCACGTTCTGCAGATCCTGGATCTGCTGGGAGCCCTGAGGACACAGCAACACACCCAGGTTAGTTTAGACAAAGTGGGTCTGATGAAATTGCATCAAGTCACCAGATAATGAGGTAATGAATCTGAATAACAAGATCACCTTGTTCTTCAGTTTCTCTGAAGAACAGTTCCAGCATTTCAAAAACTTGACCACTCTGGCCAGGGTGATAATTAATTACTTAAATATAAATAAACTGACTAAAAACATTTTAACATTTTTATTATCTGATTTACACTAAATCCTAGATAAACCAAACTAAACTAAACCATAGATAAACTAAACTAAAGCTCAGATAAACTAAATTAAACCTCTAATAAACGAAACCTCTAATAAACTAAACTAAACCGTAGATAAACCAAACTAAATTAAACTAAACAAAACCAAACTAAACTAAACTAAACTAAACTAACCTAAACTAAACTAAACTAAACTAAGACAAACTAAACTTAACCTCAAATAAAGTAAATGAAACCCCAAACTAGCTGAACTAAACGTCACATAAACTAAACTAAATTAAACCTCAGATAAACTAAACTAAACTTGACTTACCTGAGTTCCCAACATGCCAAGCAGTTGGACCACCTGGACCTGATGTCTGGCAACCTCTTTCTGGGTCAGGACCAGCTGTGTCAGCAGATCCAGGACCTTCTTCCTCCACAGTGCCTCTGGTTGCTGATCCTGGACCAGCTCCAACAGCTCAGGGGCGTGGCTCGTATCGGTGGCTTCATCATCCGATTGGGCAGGATACTGTGCCACGCCCATCGTCATATCGGCAGGGGGGTTGTCATGGTGATCACCTGCAGTGAAGACGACTGAAGTCAAAACTTCAGGTTTTTACACGACACACAGAGGAATTATGTTCCTGTGATTTTCACAATAAAGGTCCTGTTATATTAAGAGTTAATGACAGGGCGTTTAGAGGTTTTAGACAGGTGTCTCAGACAATGACCGAGATCACATGACACGACAGGCATGTTTTCAGTCAGGTTAGCGACATCGCTTTATGGATAGTAACACCGCTCAGTCCAGACAGAAATGTCTCAACAACTATTGGATGGGATACAGCAGGAAACTCAAGGAGACAATTTGATAATACTACAGACAGAACAGACCAGAACAGACGGAACAGAAGAGACGAAACAGAACAGAACAGAACAGAACAGAACAGAACAGAATAAACAGAACAAACAGAACAGACGGAACAGACGGAACAGACGGAACAGATAGAACAGACGGAACAGAAAGAACAGAAAGAACAGACAGTCAGTTAAATGTGTGTCTGAAACAGGAACAAACCTGTCAGATCACGGATCAATCACAGATCACTCACAGATCAATCACAGTGTGAACAGGAGGAATCATTATCAAACACCTCTTGACAAGGACGTCAGAGTGGGATTAGAAATCTGAGCCTCTGTTCTTTTACAGTTTTAGGATTCTCTGATCAGATGAGGTTCAGGTGTTCATAATGCGTGCGACTGATCAGTCACTGCACTTATCAATACGTGGATACAAATATTATCAACAGACAGATGAAGAGATTTGTTGTGAAGCTTCATGTGACAGTTGAAGATTCTCGTCATCGAGTTTCACAATCTGAAAAAAACAAGAAGTGAAACCCTGCGTGTGCGTGTGTGTGTGCATGTGTGTGTGTGTGTGTGCGTGTGTGTGTGTGTGTGTGCGTGTGTGTGTGTGTGTGTGCGTGTGTGTGTGTGTGTGTGTGTGTGAGCTGTCATCAGTTACACCACAATCCTCCACTCCATCAAACCTATTTTACTATGAATCCTCAGTAAATTCTCATGTTTACATTGTGGTCAGCATGCCGACAAAGGGCCGACAAAGAGCCGACAAAGGGCTGACCAGGACCCGCTAAAGACAGAGCAGTCTGTATACATGGGGTCCTACATGGGGGCAAAGGTCAGTGGGTCCTCATAAGAATACAAAGACAAACACAAGTGCGTGTGTGCACCTCAGATTAGAAAGTAAAAAAGACTCAATAAAACATGGAAGTAAAACCTCAGCTTCTAAAATAAGAGCTGTATAATGAACTGGCCCTTCCTGAGGTATGCTGGGAAACACTGAGGTGTGTCACTCTTAGCTTTTAAACCACTTAATGATGAAGACGTTGTGTAAGTGTTTCTGACAGTGAGTCAGAGTTTCACATCCACACAGTTTATCATCCACTCATGTTAAAGCCACATAGAAATATAATTGTTGGGTCCGAGCTCTACCTCATGAGCTGGACACCAAAGATGTTGAATTTCGGTTGTCTATGAATTTATTGGCTATCATAAATTCAAATATAAAATATTAATATTAGAAATATTAATGGTAAACTAGAAAATTCCAGGGAAATTTTGAGTGCCACGGGGGCTACTGCCGGGATGAGTACATGATTTATTTCCAGTGTTCAAAAGTCACCCTGATCATATTCTGGTTTTGAGAAATGTCTTGATATAAAAGACTCTGATATAAAACAATGTCACATCCCTCCATCATGTATTATGTGGGAAATATCTCATATTCTGTGTTGTTTTTTTTAATAAAACAAGAGGCAACATGTCTTCAAACTGGCATTTAAAGGGTTAAAATCCTGAAAACTAATAAACATTTAGTAGGTTTGAGCAGAACTGAAGTGGTTTCAGAGATGTATGCAAAAAAAAGCAGAAAAAAATATTGATATATGATGATTTTATAGCATTTTCTTTGGGTGTCCTTTTTTGGACGCGAGGAACCCCAGAGGGTACAAAATGTGTTACCAGTGTATAATAGACCTGAAACAGTAACTGACATTAGATTTTAAAAATATGTCAAAAAGACACTTTCTTGCAGAAATCCATACCTTCAGCTGTAACACAGCCAAAATGATCAGCTAATCAAAAAAGAAAAGTGAAGAAAATGTCCAAAAAAGGACAGAGGGACCCCTGAGTGTTAATAAATCCCATCAACCGCTATTTAAATTACCACTATTATTGTTTTTTTCATGTGCTAAATTTAACATTACTGGGGAGGAGAGCAACGGACTAGAAGTGACAGCGAGAGAGGGCTAGTAGCTTCTCCTCTCCTCTGTCTCAGCGGAGACCGTCACAACTTCATTCACTCTTTAACAAAACAAAAAGAAAAGCAACAAAGGAAGCATAAATGGACTACATATTTAAGACCTAACTAAATGTAATTTAAGACCTAACATGCGCATAATGTAAAGCTAGCGGAGCTTGGAGAGTTGGTTATCTGGTTGCTAGGCGCACGCACGCACGCACGCACGACGCACTACGACGACGCACGCATCGCAGGTCAGAGCTGCCGTTGCCATGGCAATGTGAAAATCTGCCCAGAATTTGGTTCTACATGGCTTAAAACACAACTGCAAAATATGAGAAAACCGTTACTTCTTTTCAAAAACCAAAACCCGTGACAGACACTGAAGCCAGAAGTTTCTTACAGTCTCTATTTTATTCAGATATTCCTTAAAATGAGTGAGTAAGCTCAGTGCGAAGACAGAGTGAGATTCTTTTGAAAGAAAAAGACGATTACATTAGGTGTCAATGAGAGTGAGACAGGTATTGCTGCAGGACTCGGCACCCCCGTTTAAATTTTGTGCAGACCCTGCCTGTCAAAGTTACATTTTATGAATCCCAACAACTATGTCTACATTTTCAGAAAGAATTATTTGTCTCCTTTTACGGTTTGGCTGTGAGCTCGAGTTAAAAATAAAAATAAAGGTTATTTTTGTGTTGTGTTTTTGAGAGAGCAGAAGTTTTCCTCCGTTTTATAGTTTGAATCACATTTCTACGTGCAGGTATGAGAGAGCTGGGTGACTCAGAAAAAGGTGAAATTTTGTAGAAAAAGGTGAAATTTTGTGGGTTTTTAAAGAAAATTCCAATGCATTCCTAATGCATTATTTATTCCCAGTATATTTGGGAATTCTACAAAGTAGAGGTTGCCAATATTCATGCTTGTGCAACATTAAACACACCAGTAGTTTATACTTAAAGGCATTTATTTACCATGGAGCAGAGTAAACACAAATGTCTGATCTAGTATATACAGGTGTGTGTATGTGTGTGTGTGTGTGTTTGTGTGTGTGTTTGTGGGGACACAACAAAAGGCAAGATGGCCGATTCAAAGTGGTCACTGTGACCACATGACCTGAACAAAGAAGACTACACAAAATGGCGGTAAACAAAGAAACTATTCAAAATGGCCGCTGAGACCACC